TGTCAGCCGTTTCTCTTGCGTTGATGTGTTTGTAGCGGAACAAACGGATCACATTCATACTTACCGATTTGGCTGTCAAGTAAGTACTCTTCTAGCATTCCTGTAGTACTTGCTGAACTTGAATTGAATTCAAATTAACATTTTAACACAGCTATTGTGTTTGTGCAGTAGCTAGTTGTATTAAGTCTCAAATGAGGTGGCCTCATGTCATGGCGACTACTCTATGTTTTTGTCCCAGAATGCACTGCACAGTGATGTCAGTTGCCAAGCCCTGTGAATTGTAGAACACTGAGCTATGAGTTAATTTCAGCTCTGGTTTACCTAAACACTTGTGACAGCTGATATCGAAATCTGAACCCATTTCTAGCAATTAACGAGCTCTATAGGCTGTGTGAACACTGAAAACATATTCATATAAAAAAAGTAAATATTGTTACAACCTCCTGGTTCAAGAAAGAAGTAACACAACCCAATAAAGATCTAAACCAGAAAATCAAATCAACTTAAATACATTTAATCAAAAATAAAGTCAAATGATACATAAATAAAAAGAAAACAAAACAAAAAAACTCCAAAGCTGAAAAGGGAAGGATGAACACCCACAGTTGTGTTCTCTTGGGCTGCGTCCGAAACCGCTTACTACTCAGTAGGTACTGCATTTGAATTTAAACATACTACTCGACCATAAAAAAAAGTACGTTCTATACAGTATGAATGTGAAAAGTATGAATGGAATTCGGACGTACTACATCCGCCATTTTGTCATGGTCACGTGACTTACTTGCGTCAGTTGCGTCGCTTTACTCCCATTCATTCATGGGATGCACACTCTAGAATCTCGCCGGAAGTAGTAAGTCATCCTGGTACTTCTGGCACACTGATTTTTTGAATTCTATGAATTCTGACATATTACTCGGCTCGCATACTGATTTTAGCATACTATATAGCATGGAAGTATGCGGTTTCGGACGCAGCCTTGGTCTTTATCCAAACGCACATCACAAATAACACTCCGCACCTGGTCCAAATGTAATTACGGCAAAACACCACACCTGTTTAACACTCCAAAGGAACAACAGATCACGGAACACCTCCATCTAGTGTACACCGGTTAATAGAACACTACGACCACGTTTGGACCCCTCTGCTGTATGCAAACATGGTGAGAATCTTGAACCTCAGAGTAAAAAACTTTATTGAAGGCAGCAAATACTCAAGACAAATGGACAAACCTGGAAAACACACTTTTCTGATGTTCAGACACAAAACCTTTATGCCTTTGTGACGTGAGAGAATGCTTGGTATATGTGCTGCTGGATTCTCAGAGTGACACCACTTTCATTGATAAATGTGTGATTCATTGCAAGCTACAACATTTCCAGTGAAACTAAAGCGGACAACCATGCTTGGAAAGGACAGTGCTTCTATGTGAGAGAGGGACGGGACATAAGGTAAGAGCTTATAAGTCTAGTGACTATGTCGATTTACCACCAACTTGTACCAAAGATTGTATTGCAGCAAACTGCAGCCATATTCCCAAACGTGAGGTTGCTGAACACTGGAAACATCTTTCAGCTTTCGCAGACAAAATACCTCCACTATAGGATTGTGATGTCGGCCTGTTAATCGGCTACAACTGTTCAAGGTCAACGATTCCTCGAGAAGTGATAGCCGAAGGAGACAACAAGCCCTAAGCCATTCAAACAGATCTTGGATGGAGTGCCGTAGGTTGTTCACCACGCTCTGACTTATATGATGTTAGTAGATTGTGTCACCACATAGCGGTTAAGGAGCTTCCTTCTATTACACCTGCCAACATAATACGGGCCCTTGAGAGTGACTTTAAAGATGTAGAAAAAGAAACTGGCAGAGTATCCCAAGATGATGTTCTCTTTCTTGAGAGATTGAAGTCCGGCACGAATAAAAACATTCACGGTCACTACCAAATGCCACTTCCCTTCAAAGCAAGGCCGAAACTGTCAAAATAACAGTTGATGAGTGAAATCTTTAAGAGATAAGATGCTGAAGAAGTGTAACATAGTGGTAAGGAAGAAGAAACATGGTACCTACCTCATCATGGTGTTTTTCATCTGAAAAAAGCTGTCAAACTGTGTGTGGTCTTCGACTGTTTTGCAAGACATGAAGGTTCATCCCTAACTGATCATTTACTTCAAGGTCCTGATCTGATAAACAGTCTGCACGATATTCTTAATCGATTTTGGGGCTGCTTCATCTTCAGGTTGTGTAAACTACGGCTTGAAACATCCTTCAACTGAAAATAGAGAGTTGTATCTAATATGTTCACAGTTTAAGAACTTCTATGTCGACGACGGTGTGATCAGCGTGGAGAATGTGGATGAAGCCATTACGCCCTATTCACACGGGGCTTCAGCGTCAACGCTTCCCATTCACTTTGAATGGGTGACGTCAGGCGTTGCCGAACTGCATTGTGGATCCGTCGGCGGCGCTTCAGAAGCGTTCCTCGCTGCAGAAGTTGGGACCAGCTCAACTTTTCAAGCGCCGACGGAAGCGTCAGCCAATCAGATCGCTGTATGCAAATACACCAGCTCAGACAGTGGCCTATTGCTGACTGAATTTCATTGGCTGACGCTTCTATGACGATCGTTTCAGCTCCAACTTCAGACACGCCCTCTGTCAAGCGTTGACGCTGAAGCCCCGTGTGAATAGGGCGTTAAGGTTGCAGACGAAGCATGACATCTCTGGACAATAGGTGGGGTACGACTGCACAAGTTCCTGTCTAATAGTAAGCTTGTATTGGAAGGCATCCCTCAATCAGAAAAGATGTGTGATGTAAAGGGTCTGGATCTTGCATTTGATGAATTGCCATTAGAGAGAACACTTGGATTACAGTGGGATAGGGAATCTGACTGCTTCAAGTTCAAAGTACACCTGAAAGAACAAAATGCTTCTCAGCGTGGCTTATTATCTACCGTCGCTTCTGTTTATGACCCATCGCACCTGCTCTCTTGAATGGAAAGAGAATACAGCAAGAGATGTGCAAGAATGGCAGGATGACCCTCTAATGCAGCGGTGTCCAAACTTGGTCCTGGAGGACCGGTATCCTGCAGAGTTTAGCTTCAACTTGCTTTAACACACCTTCCAGGAAGTTCCTAGCATATCTTGAAAGAGCTTGATTAGCTGGTTCAGGTGTGTTAGATTAGGGTTGGAACTAAACTCTCCAGGACACCGGCCCTTCAGGACTGAGTTTGGACACCCCTGCTCCAATGGATGGACTGAACTTAAGATGGGTGCGATGGAATCAAGATTTACAAAGTCTGCAAAACTAGACATACCACAAACATCTGTACCATTGGACTTTGGGACAGCAGTTAGTGTTGAGTTGCATCATTTCCCTGATGCTAGTACTGATGAATATGGTCAATGCTCTTGCATAAGACTCACTAGTAATGGCAAAATCAACAGTTGCACCTTATAGACTTGTAATGGCTCTAGGTTGGAACTAGCCACTGCTGTTGTTTGCATGAAAGTAATATACTCAAAAATGAGCTAGATCATCCCGGTGCTAATGAGACACTTGATTGTAAAGTGGTGCTGGGGCATATAGGTAATGAAGCATGCAGATTTCACACCTTTGTTGCAAAGCCAACAAAGACAGATCTAGTAATCCTAGAACCATCCCAGAGAGACATAAGGCAGAGCTCCATATAATCTAATGTCTACAAGAGAGTTTTCATAAAGATGAGCTTAAGAAGGTAAAAGGTGGGAGAAATGTGTGAAGTGGGGCATTACGTCCTCTTGACTCTTTCGTTGATATTGTTGGTGTGCTTATGGTGGGAGAAAGATTTACTCGCTCAAGTCATGCATGAAGGAAAAGGATTTACCGTAAATGAGATTAGAAGCAACAGGTTCTGAATCCCAGGAATCAACACAGTTGTGTCATCCTTCATTAAAGGTTGTGTTATCTGCAGAAAGCTCAGAAGACCTGTTGAGGAACAAAAACTGGCTGATCTTCCGGCAGAAATAGTCAATCTATCTCCTCCTTTATGCACACTGGGGTGGATTGTTTTTGTATGTTTTGCGGTTAAGTCTGGATGAAATATGCACAAAAGGTATGGCTTCTTGTTGACATGTCTTTGTTCTCGTGCTGTACACATTGAACTACTTAATGACTTAACTGATTCAATATGACACAAACACTCTTTGTTGTTTCATGGCCCTAAAGCCTGATTTATACTTCTGCGTCAAGTGACCGACGTAACCCACGGCGCATGCAACGCTCGTGGCTGTGCATTTATACTTCTGCTCGCTGTCTCTGTTGGTCTGCATTAACACTTCCGAAACGCTAGTTGGCAGTGAGGTGCAAATGTTCCTCTGTGTCGAGTTTCTTCTCTGCTGTTTTGCTTTTCCTGAACACTTCCGGGATGTACAAGTGGCTCAAACTCGCTCATTTTGAAGCAGGAACCGGCAGACGTGCAACAACTTTAACTATGAGGTAAACACAAAACAAAACTTTTCATCCGGAGCTCCTTCACGGGACTCCACACTTGTAAACAATCGCTCACGCCATTCGTGCGTCTCTCGGTCCCGCCCAGACTCGTCAGCGCTACCAAGCCGACCAATCACAGAGCTTACGCTATGCGTCGTTGCGACTTGTAGTTACAATTTTTAAAAGGTGCACGTCAGTGACGGCGACGGCCACGGCGAAGGGCTATGCGTCAGCGCCGTAGCATACGCTGGCGTTTGACGCAGAAGTATAAATCAGCCTTAAGAGGCACAGTTCGGCAGCTGAGATCTGATTAAGGGACCAACTTTGCGGCAGCAAAGAATTACCCAAAGGGTGCACTCCAGATCCAGAAAGATGAACCACTTTCCTATCAGAAAAATCAGTGTGAATTCATTATGAATACGGCTTTCATGGTTTGCTTACATTTTGGTTTCGTTTATCTGTTGTATACAAAGATTTTCCAGAGACTTGTGTGAATGTTGCCCTCAAATAAATCATGAGAAAACACCAGTGATAGAGTCAATCCTTTATTGAATCAGGGAGCTACAGAGGACACGAACTGAAAGATGATCAACGTGAATCCCGAATGGAAATGAGTTTAGAGTTACTGATGTCATGTGTGCTGCTTTTCTCCAGTGTGGACTTTCAGGTGTTTCTTAAGCTGCCGTGAGTGTGTGAATCTCTCCAGACACTGATCACATGAGTACGGTTTCTCTCTAGTGTGGATCTTCTGGTGTCGATTCCGATGTGCTAAAGACCTGAATCTCTTATCACAGTGTGAACACTTGTAAGGTTTCTCTCCAGTGTGAGTCCTCTCATGTAATTTCTGATATTCTAAATGAGCGAATCTCTTGTCGCAGTGTGAACACTTGTACGGTTTCTCTCCAGTGTGGATCCTCTGGTGCAGTTTCAAATGTTCAGGTTTAATGAAAGTCTTCTCACAGTCAAAGCACATATACTCCTTTACACCAGTGTGGATCTTCTGATGTTGTTTTAAGTTTGACTGTGTTGTAAATCTCTTTCCACACTCAGAGCATGAATAAGGCTTCTCCTTTGTATGAGTTCTGAGATGACGTTTCAGCGTTGATGCCCTAAAAAATGCTCTGCCACATTGATCACATCTGTGTTTTCTCTCTCCAGTGTGGATCATCATGTGTTCTTTAAGGGATGATGAGAGTCTGAAACTCTTCCCACAATGAGTGCATGAAAACGGGTTCTCTCCAGTGTGGATCATCATGTGTTGAGTAAGGGATAATGAGTGTCTGAAACTCGTCCCGCATTGAGTGCATGTGAATGGTTTCTCTCCAGTGTGAATCATCATGTGTTGATTGAGACTCTTTTTGTTTGCCAGACTCTTTCCACACTGACTGCAGGTCAAACATTTCTTGACTCTTTGCATTAAAGTATTTTCAGTCTGTAAATGAGGTGTTTTACCA